GAATATCTAACCAGTCTTATTAAATAAGAAACACAGAGCCAAATACAGAGTTAAAAGCCCAAGAGATCAGAGCACTAGCAAAGAGCCAAGACTGCCTTTAGCTTACCACTCACTGCCGTTGCTTCCCCTGAGAGAGGGTTTCTTCCTGTCTGACTTGTCTTTTTATTGCCTTTCTGTTCTGCCTTCTCACTGGCTCTAAACCCAACCACGTGACTTCTATGGGCCAGGGCTACAGCCTTCTGCTTTGAGCAGTTTCACTGGGTGGCCTGTGTCAGGCTTTGGTTTAAAATGTATTGTTGTTATCAGGTGTCGGTGTGTTGTTGGGTGGCAGGTGGGGTGTTGTTACTGGGTAGTAGGTGTGTTGTTGGGTGTTGGGTGTGTTATTGGGTGGCGTGTGGGTTGTTATCAGGTAGCAGGTGTGCTGTTGTTAGTTGGCCGGTGGGTTGTTAGGTGGCGGGTGTGTGTTGTTAGTAGGTAGCAAATGTGTTATTGTTGTTGGGTGGCGGGTGTGCACTGTGCATGCCAAAGTCAAAAGCCTTTTTGGATCATTTCTCTCCTTCAACCACGTGGTTCCTAGGGATGGAACCCATGTCGTCAGGCTTGGCCACAAGGGCCCTCACCTGCTGAGCTGGCTGGCGGGCCCTGATTGGAGTTTCCTGAAACAGCCATGTTAATATTTATTACTGCAGCTTTTTATTATGATTGTCTTTCTTTGGTGCCCAAGGCAGTGAGTATATCCCACCTTCCAGACCTTCTTCCAAGCCCTGCGTGGTTCTGTCTCCCCTGCCAGACAGACCTCCTCTTTCCCCACCAAGCTGTGGAACTCCAGGGCTGGGCATCTGGCACACACCTGGCGTTGCCTGTGTTTACAGTGAGGCTGAGACCAGCAGTGTGTGCCAAAACCCAGGGAGACATTGCTCTCCCAAGTGACAAAAATAGCCAGGTACAAGGAGCCTCTTTCTCCTTCATCTCCTCCCTCCCAGACAGAACAGAGCCTGGCTTTATCTGCGAGGCCATGCTCACTCTCCGTGTGGGGAACAGGGGCCTGATGCCTCAGCTCCAGGGCACACATCCAGGTACACATGGACCCAAAGCTGGAGGCAGCTCCAGTGTGGGATCCGAGAAGCTGCCAGGTCCATTTCTGGGAGATTGATAGAAACCAGCAAACCTGGTCTACAGTGGAGCAGGGAGCATGAGAATTTTCCTCCTGGACCCTGCTCTGTGTTAACCCTGTGGTCCCACATTGGCCACGTGGGTGTTCAGTGTATGGTTAGAAGCTGACAGGTGGGCCACCTAGGTAGCGCAGTCAGTCAAAGATGCCTGCCGGCAAGCCTGAAGACCTGCGGTCAATCCCCAGGGTCCACGTGGTGGACAGAGATAACCAGCTCTTGCAGGCTGTCTGGCCTCTGCACATGCAGGCGCATGCACGTACACACCATGCCAGTCAAGAACTAACTACAGGGGTGCTGGCACTCATTCTGTCCTCTCCTCGTCTGTCCTCTGTCCACACTGCCTGGCATGAGCCCCCCTCGGAGCAGCTGGGGTGCCTTCCCACTCTGTACTCAGTGTGGGTTCTTGGCTGAGTGTGTCCAACCTTGTCTGCAGCTTCCCGCATGCCACAAGTCACACCCTGCTGGCCAAGTTCAAGCAGCAGCATGAGGACAACAAGTATTTCCTGGGCACACCAGTCCTGGAGCCCGCCTTCATCATCCAGCACTTTGCGGGCAGGGTGAAGTATCAGATCAAGGTAGGTGCGGCATCCCACCCACACTGCACTCTTGGACTGTTTGCTGCTACTCAGTGGGGACTGCACATTCTGGGGATGCTTGGACTCACTCCAGCCCTCAGTCCGTGGGCTCCGAGGGGTGACCGACCACTGCCCCCTCACCAGGACTTCCGGGAGAAGAACATGGACTACATGCGGCCGGACATCGTGGCACTGCTGCGGGGCAGTGACAGCTCCTATGTGCGCCAGCTCATCGGCATGGACCCAGTGGCCGTGTTCCGCTGGGCCGTGCTGCGGGCTGCCATCAGGGCCATGGCTGTGCTTCGGGAGGCCGGGCGCCTGCGTGCAGAGAGAGCTGAGAAGGCAGCAGGTAGGGGCTGAGGGGCTGCCCTCCCTGGTGCCAACCCTGGGAGCAAGCAGCATGGTTGACAGACAGTTACAGCCCATTCTAAATCTGGGCATGGCTGTTTGGGAGGCAGTCAGAAAATCATGACTTGGGGGCCAGAGTGAGAAAGGTAATGAATGAATCTGTCTTCAGGACTAAAGAGAGCTGGGGGCTCAGCAGTAGTACCCCTGCCTAGAACCCCAGTGAGGGGCTGGGGGCGTGGTCAGGGTGGAGCCCCTCCCTAGAACCCCAGTGAGGGGCTGGGGGCGTGGTCAGGGGTGGAGCCCCTGCCTAGAACTCCAGTGAGGGGCTGGGGGCGTGGCTAAGGGTGGAGCCCCGCCTAGAATCCCCAGTGAGGGGTTGGGGGCGTGGCCAGGGTGGAGCCCCTGCCTAGAATCCCCAGGGAGGGGCTGGGGGCGTGGCTCATGGTGGAGCCTCCGCCTAGAATCCCCAGTGAGGGCTGGGGGCGTGGTCAGGGGTGGAGCCCCTGCCTAGAACCCCAGTGAGGGGCTGGGGGCGTGGTCAGGGTGGAGCCCCTGCCTAGAATCCCCCAGTGAGGGGCTGGGGGCGTGGCTCAGGGTGGAGCCCCGCCTAGAATCCCCAGTGAGGGGCTGGGGGCGTGGTCAGGGTGGAGCCCCTGCCTAGAATCCCCAGTGAGGGGCTGGGGGCGTGGCTCAGGGTGGAGCCCCGCCTAGAATCCCCCAGTGAGGGTCTGGGGGCGTGGTCAGGGGTGGAGCCCCTGCCTAGAATCCCAGTGAGGGGCTGGGGGCGTGGCTCAGGGTGGAGCCCCTGCCTAGAATCCCCAGTGAGGGGCTGGGACATGGTTTGGGTACACTGCTTATATAGCATGTACAAGGTCTTGGGTTCAATTCTCATTTCCTCAAAAGAAAGAAAAAGAACTGACTGCTTACTCCACAAAAGTAATGGCCTTTGTGCTGTGGGAACCCTGCCAAACAGTGTGCACTCTGTATCTGCAGCAGGAATAAGTAGCCCTGGCCCTCGAAGTCACTCGGAAGAGCTACCAAGAGGAGCTAACACCCCTTCGGAAAAACTGTACCGGTGAGCGAGACTTCAGTTCGTTCCCATGATAGCCTGTGAGGTGTCGTTGTTTACACAACTGTGGAACCCTCTACTATCCACCAGGGTCCTTGTGGCCCTGAGTAAGCTCTCAAGCAGCTGAATGGACTCAAAGACCCAGAACAGAAAGACCCTTGCATGGGGCTCTTCTGTCCCCAGAAGGCAGGTCCTGAGACAGCGTCTGCTCTGGCAGCAGTGGGCAGGTCAGCACAGAGGAGGCTCTTTGGTTCCCTGGCCCGGTATGTGTGCGCGTGTGCGCGCTAAGAGTCTTTGCAGCTGCAGAGTGACACTCGGATGAGTCTCCCACGGAGGTGCGGCTTCATTGTAGAATGCTGGGCTTCTGAGCCTGAGAGAAGCCTGCATTCCGTCCGTCCGTCCCTGGGGCTTGGGCTGCAGGGATGGATCTTCTCTCATCCCACTCTGGACCCCACAGTACCTCCTGCTGAGTTTTCTCTTCTGAGTGGGAGGAATGTGTGAGCCTGGGCCGAGAGCTCAGCCCTCCCCTTGGCTCCAGGATGGTAGAAAGGTGCATACGAGCTGGGTTGGGGGTTCTGGCCTCTGCTTGCCGCTATTGGGAGACTGAGGTAGAAGAATTGCAAGACCAGGGCTGACCTGGGCTGCAGAGTGAGATCCTGGTGACCATAAAAGGGTCGGGGGTACACCTCTGTGTTGTGGTGCTTGCCCAGCACAGTGAGGTTCTGGGTTCACTTTGCTGTGCTGACCAAAAGAGTGGGGGCCTCTGGGATGTGGCGGGTCACCCATGCTTAACAGCCGTCCAGAAGTTGAAGGTCAGGAAAGCAGTGTCCCAGCAGCCTGAGAGCCAGGCAGGCCCCGTGGAGACAGGAACTGTCGGGCCAGGCACGGTGGTGCACACCTGTCAGCCTAGCTGTGCAGTGGTGTCCTAAAGAGCAGGCTGTGACTGAGATCAGCCTCAATGGCGTAGCTCGGCCCTGCACCCAATCAGGAGCTAACTCTTTGTCCAGAGGCCCGAGTAGAGGCCATGCCCCTGCCCCCTGGGCTCTTCCTCTCCCTGTGAGCCAGTGGTCCATGCCTAGTCAAGCTGTGTCCGTCGGGCTGCATGTCCGCCGGCTTCACTGAGCTTCTCCCTTGCAGCTGTGCAGGGCTAGATTTCTCCTTTGACCGCTCTGAGGAGTTGGATGTTAACGCTTTTGAGGACATCATGGCTTTCTATGAGAGCAGGAAGTAAGTAGCAGCCAGGCCTTCGCACGCAAGACCAGGGAGGCACAGGCCAGGGCCGCCCGCCGCCGTCTGGGAGCTCAGAGCAGCGTCCTTCCCATGCGGGTTGTCCGAAGCCGTGGCCACTGCTCTGAGCACTCTAGACAGGAAGGCCGCGTAGGAATCAGAGGACCTTTAACCCTTGTCACCCTGTTGTCTTTGCTCTTGTGCCTCCCTGGAGAGCGAGGGAGCAGAGGTAAGTGGCGTCATCCGGGCACAAGGCATGGTGCATGTATCACAGTACGGGGCTGCACACAGGGACTCCCTCAGGCCAACGGGCAGAGCCTAAACATGCTTTAGAACAGCTGCAGCGAGGCCCGGGAGATGGCCTGCTGCGTACAGGGCCACCAGACTGCCCACATTGGTTTAAATCCTGGATCCACGTGGTGGGGAAAACCAACACACACACACACACACACACACACGCACGCACGCACGCACGCACGCACGCACGCACGCACGCACACACACACACACGCACACATACATGCACATGCACGCACCCTCAGACAGACAGATACACGCACACACACAAACATGCACACACACAAGCGCGTGCGCGCGCGCGCGCGCGCACACACACACACACAAACGCACCCTCAGACAGACAGTCACACACACACACACACACACACACACACGTGCACACACACACACACCAACATGCACGCACCCTCAGACACACACACACACATGCACACACATACACACATGCACGCACCCTCAGACAGACACACACACACACACACACACACAAGTAAATACTGAATAACAAGGCAGAGCCAGGGCAGGACTCTGCTGCAGAGCTGCTGCCCAGTCTGCGGGGGCCTTGGACGCCATCCTGGCACAAGTGTGGGCTGCAGAAGGAGTTCAGTGTCCTCAGAGGACCCAGCTGCCGGTACTCTCCTAGGCCCCTCACAACCACCTGTAATTCCAGCACCATGAAGTCTGACGCCCTCTTCTGGCATTTGTGGGCACTGCACTCATGTGCCCAACTCCACACATACCTACATACATACGCACACAGGTAAAGATAAAATCAATGTTTAGAAAGTCGATCCTCTTCAGGTAGGTTCTTAACCTTAGCTGTCCCTGCAGTGAGGGTCACCTGTGTCCTCAAGGGTGTTGGACATTGTCTCTAGCTGCCATTTGCCAGGTGCCAAGCCCCAGGGAGAATGTCCCCATGCATGTCTGGACACAGGTTGGTCCCCAGGGGCTAGAAGGAGGCGATGTAGCCACTGGCCGAGAAGTACCAGGTACCAGGGCAGTTCAAGCCGGGCCATGCACTGCAGACCCACCCTGTTTTATACAAATGATACAGGCTTATACATACAGGAGCCTGCCTGCTGGACAGCTCACAGGGAGGGCCTGCTGCCCTCCCGGTGGTCTTGATTTGATCTCCAAGTCAGCTGTGTGCTGGAAGGAAAGAACTGGTTACTTGGAGCTGTGCTCTGACCTCCACAGGCCGTGGCATGCACACACACACACACACCCAGATGTAAATAAAACCCTGCCGTTGAGAAGGGGACCCTGCAGTTGAGAGCATTCACTGCTGGACCAGAGTCCAGATCCCAGCACCCACATGGGCTACTCACAAATCCCTGCCACTCCAGGTCTGAGGCACCCAGTACCACCTCTGCCCTCTAGAGTACACACACACACACACACACACACACACACACACACACACACTAGAGTACTTACACACACACACACACACACACACACACACACACACGTGCACGCACACAAATGAAATTGTTAAAAAAAAAAAAGAAAAGCTGGGCAAACAGATGCTGATTCTGTGAGTTCAAGGTCAGCCTGTTCTATGTATCAAGATCCAGACCAGCCAGGGTCCTGTCATAAGCCCATGGTTCATCCCTGAGCTCAGGGACAGTGGCTGTTTCTGGCCCAGTTCCCTCTTTCTGGAAAGACACAGTGGTCACCCACCTGTGCACCCCTTCCTCAGATGCATGTTTTGTCTCCTGTGGCCTGGGGACACCCTGATGAGCATTGGGGGCCCCAGGTGGCGGGCCACGCTCTAACTATTCTTCTTTCTGTCACCGGGTCCCCTTCTGGTCCTTAGCGATATGCATAACCAAATCATCAAGAGCCTCAAAGGATTGCCATGGCAGGGCGAGGACCCGCGGAGGCTTCTTCAGTCCCTCAGTCGGCTCCAGAAGCCCCGCACCTTCTTCCTGTGAGTCCCCCAGCTCCTCCAAGTGCAGCAGCCACCTCTGCCGACGTCTCCTACCTGTCAGACAGCCACTAACAGTCCCCTACCCCACCACTGCCTTACAGCTCAGTTCTCAGCCAGCCATTGCTGACCAGCCTTAATGCCCTTGTGTGAGGAGGCCTCCCTCTGACCCTGACCCTCTCCACCCCGGCCAGCTTGCAGAGCACAAGCGTCCCCTGCCTGGCCTTTGCCTGCTGTGACCTTGTCAGGAAGCCTTGGGAGCAAGGACCATGTGAAGCCAGGGACCAGTCTGTAGGCCTGGGTCCCAACCCACCACTGCCACATTTCACTAAGTTCCTTGGGGTTCAGCATCCCCTGCAAAATGGGGTGGAAATTCTTCAACCCCTATTGTGCTGGCCTGTCAGGGCACCCACAGTCACCGGCCACAGACAGTTGGGAATAGCGCTGTGCCCATGAGGAGCCCGACTTTGGTGCTTCTCCCCAACCCACCCCAGAGCCGGGGTCTCACCATGTTGCCCAAGCTGGCCTCCAACCCCTGGGTTCAAGGATCCTCCTCCAATGCTTGTTGCTCCAAATGGAACTCCATCTCGAGGAGCCCCTCATTTGCCTCCATGGGCACTGCACTCGTGTGCACACATACTTAGAAATCTTCAAAGAATCCTCCTGCCTCAGCTCTGGGAGCAGCTGAGGCTCCAGGCATGTGCCACTGTGTCCAAAAATGATTTTTGCATATGTTTCTCTGTTACTTTCTTTTAGCCCAAATTAATTGAGATGCAGTTGAGGACTGGATGTGGCTCAGGGACAGAGGCTGGGTGAGCATCCCAGTCCTGAGGCGTGAGAGCACACAACAGCTCATGGCCGCGTGCACAGTGAGCAGGGTTCTCGTGTGCTCTAGTTTTTCCACGTCACACCCAGGCACTGTGGCACTTGCCCAAGCATACACTCAGCATGAAAGAGGCGGAGGCAGGAGGATTATGAGTTTGAGGTTAACCTGTCTTAATTTGGGGGAAAAAAAAAAAAAAGATGATACTGCATGCTATCATCCTAGCACTGGGATGGTGGAGGAAGGAAGATCAGGAGTTCAGATTTATCCTCAGCTACGTAGCAAGTACAGGCCAGCCTGGGCTACATGAGACCCTAGGTCTCAAGAAAAAATTCCACTGTGAGACCACTGGAGCTGATTGCCAGCCCCTGGGCCATGGGCCTTTCCACCATTGGCATCCTGGAGCTGGGATGTGGCTCAGAGGAGGGACATCTCAGTGTGAAGAAGGCCCTGGGTTCCATACCCAGCATGACAAACTAATAATAAATGCCCTTAAAATAATCAGGTGAGGAGCCACCCAGGCCATTGTTCTTTGCAGGGCAAGTCTGCCCCACCCGTGGAGAGTTGACCTAGCGGAGCCGGTCTTAGCGTACCAGGCCAGCGCAGGGCCTCGGTGCCGCGTGCATGGCTGCTGGTTCACTTCCTCACTGCCGCATGCAGACCCGGAGTCTCCAGCATGGTCTGCCCTCAGATGGGACAGATCTGCAGTGTGGACGGCAGGCGCCCGGGGTGTCTGGGGAGGCGGTGGCGACCTTGCTGCACTTGCCCTCTCTCTGTCTCTCTGGATCTAACCCGCACGGCGCGGCTTGCTGAACTAACACAACCCCCAGCCCTGTCCCTCACATTCACACCGTTTTTAATATTTTGACAGGAAGAGTAAAGGTATCAAACAAAAGCAGATCATTCCAAAGGTAAACCCGCACGGGCAGACGGCACCATCACGCGGCTTGAGAGCACCCTTTCTCAAGTTCTGAGACAGGGAGGTGGGAGAGGAACACTGAGCTTCTGGGACCTCTTTCATTCCTTCTTCTCACCCAGCCAGCTAACTCTCCCTCTAATACAGGGGTGTATCAGGGAGTGCAGCTCAGGTGGAGCCCCGCCTAGAATCCCCAGTGAGGGCCTGGGGGCGTGGTCAGGGTGGAGCCCCTGCCTAGAATCCCCAGTGAGGG